AAAAAAAAACAAAAAAAAAAAGGGCAAGAGAACTGAATATTGGATTATACAACACTTTCACCAAATTATGGGATTTTTACAGGTTTTAGTAAACTTAGACCTTCTTTCTTTGCAATTATATGACTTTCTGCATCTTCAGACACCTTTGATTCATAAGGAAAATAAAGTGAAAAAGCAATGTGTAAAGAATTCTGTAAGAATTTCCACTGTAAATTGGAGCTGAGTTAGTCACTGATGACTTTTCATTATCAATTCAAATAAATGGCATTTAATAATAGGGGCTTTTTTGACCTTAAGCATACGGGGGAAGGGAGAAGGCCTGAACATGTATTTTGAGAAGGAAATAATGTCAGTGCCCCTTTCAAGTGTCCCTTTCAATGAACAGACATCCATCATCATCACCAGACTGATAAAGCCATGCTGTCACCAAGCCATTGCCCCTACTGGTAGCTTTTTTTTTTTTTTCTCTTGAATTTTTATTGATTGGGTTTAGGAAGACAAAATTACCATCATAATCACAACATACCCTGAAAATATTTTTATGCTAAAACACACTGAATGATCTCTTAAACTGAGAACTCTCCAAATTCATCAGGGATTTTGTCAAGAGATAGAAAAGCAAAAGATAGTAAAATGAGTCCCCAAAATGTGGAACCACAAAAGAGTGTCCATCCACTCTCCTCCTCTTTGACTCCTCTCCACAATCATTTCCATTTCTTTTATTTGATTGCCACAGGAGGAACAAACAGACAAAACAATACACAGATTTGGGAACTATCCCATTCACGGAAGATGTTGCTGCATTTTGGACCAGCAAATTCTTTTGACTTTTATAAATAGCCTTGAACGTAATCAAACCAGAAGCTCAAAGTGAAACCTGCAGGTGTATGAGCTATTATTAACAAAAAAGGGGAAAAGATGTACCAAAGTCCCCAGAAGAATACCGAGTTTCATATTCGGTCTTCCTCTATATCCACTAAACAGTAACTTTTCTGTCAGTTTTTTCTGTATATAGTACTAATACTAGTAACTCCTAAAATCACTATCAACTATGATAGACTGAGGAGAAAAAAAAAGACAGTACTTTTACAATAAGTTTCCCATGTCATGCCTAAGATTTTAAGCAGAGAAAAAATCAAAATTAAAATAAAAAGAGGAAATTGCGGTTGTCAAGAATAAACATGCTAAGGAGGGGCTTGTGGGAAGGCATACATGTGAAACTTAATCTATTTTTAAAGTGATTGATTTTCAAATCAATGTCTTCTAGACGACTTTTTTAAGTGACACCAAGCATACAGGCAAAGGTATTCCTTGTCTTTTATTTCCCCCAAATTTCACATTCTCAAATCTTCATTGAGCTCTGGGGTTGTTTAGTTTGGAGAAGAGGAGGCTGAGGGGAGACCTTATTGCTCTCTACAACTACCTGAAAGGAGGTTGTAGCGAGGTGGGGGTCGGTCTCTTCTCCCAAGTAAAGTGGTAGGATGAGAGA